GTCGTTCATATTATCGATAATGTTTTAGGGATTGTCACCCACACAATTGATCAGGTCAGTCAGCACTACCATGATACTGTGAAAAGTCTTCCATAACAACGCTCTTATCCTTTTGAAAACATTAATCTCATATTATACTAACAGAGTTATCGATGCCGCTTGAACCTATTCCGATCATTATGAAAATTGTTATCTACAGTGATAATAATCTCATAATGCAACTTGTAAGCATGTGATATTGATACTGCCGTTATTTCCATGAAAATGATCAGTGCTATTATTGTTTGCAGTTGTTAATGGGTAATCCAAGATGTACAACTCTAATGCGCTATATGAACACAATTGGTCAACTGGTTCGCGGTTATCTATCGGCGAGTGGTGGTCTGGTGACTTTCTTTGCTCCATACAATGAAGCATTCGAACGTATTCCCGAAAATATCGAACGACGTCTGCTGAGGAATCGTATTTGGCTGGAACAGGTTCCTTTCTATCATAATCACTTCATACTAATATAAAGTCTAATGTTGCTCTTCAATCATTCACTTGATGCTGTTCAGGTTTTGAAGCTACACATTGTACCGGCCAAAGAGTTGACCAGTAACGAAATTACCAATCAAACAATTGTAAACTCGGTTGATAATCGATTCCAGCTCTATTTCATCCGAGGCGAATGGCCGAAAAATAATATCAGTATGTTTCACGATTATTCTTTCACAATTTTCATAGGAACGATGCGATCGCTTCAAACATAATAGTTCCGTTGGCAAGCGATATCCCAACACATAATTCGATGATAGAACCGTAAGCCGTATGAATTCGTGTGGAACTTTTAGTCAGTCAATGCTGATTTTATTGCATCTTCAAATTAATCACTCTCCTTGGTGTACCTTATGAATTAAGCAAAAAAAATAGGTGAACAATAAAATCGCTTACAAATAACTGTTCTGTATTGCCTGAAAGACCTGATGTCAGGGCAAAAATTTCCACAATATCTCTCCGAATGATCAAAATGAAATCAGTTAATCTCTTCAGCATATTACGTGATTGGTGCCGGTATTAAAGCAGCTCTAATTCAAGAGAATGTGGCAGGGACGAATGGTATCGTACATTACATTGATCGAGTCCTTGGTGTACCCTATCAAACACTCTGGGAACTGATTCGGAACGATACACAGCTACAGTAATAATATTCTTTATATTACCAGCTATTCAATACTACGTTCTGAAATGAGCAAAAGTTTGACAGCTGGATCAAGTATGGTAACAACCTCACCAATTTTGATCTGACTGACTGTAAATTCTAATGATACTGAATGTAATATGAAACAGTTACGGAGAGCAGAAATACTAGTTGTGAATGAAGCGGAAGAGGTTAAATTTACAGCCTAACCATGTAATTAAAAACTGGTCAAGTAGTCGAAAACTTCTACGTTGATTTGAATTCTCATCGCAAATGATTTCTGAATCAGCTTTCTCATTTTTCGACGGTGAAAACTGCGGAAAATTTCCTTCGAGAAGTTTGAAATGTGATAGAATAATACTGAAGCATAACGGATACTTACTTGTTTACAGGACATCGTATCAAATGCTCACAAATATGCAATTGCAATATACACTCGATCCGTGGCAAGTTTTAACGCCTGAACAAAATCTGACGTTCTTTGTGCCCACCGATGAGGCATGGCAGAATGTAAGCGTTTTGATCAATCAACGCCCATTACAACATTAAAGTCTTGAATCGAATAGAAAATTCAAATTGAGGAACTAGGCTAATCGCGAGTGATCTAAAAAGAACACACCTTGAACTATGAAAGGGTGAAGAATGAGACGGTAGTGTGGGGATATAGCTCAGGGGTAGAGCGCTCCCTTAGCATGGGAGAGGGCTGGGGTTCAATTCCCCATATCTCCAGATAACTTTTTTTTTCGCCGTGGAACATTTTACTGTCATCATGTCCTCACCTTCTAAATCTAATGGTACTCACTGCATTGTGAAGATAAGTTTTCTTAGGAGCAGTTATCGTCCAAAATGTGATATGAAAGAATGAAGAAATTCAAATCCTTGGAATGTGATAAGAAATGGCAAAGGAAGTTCTATGGTGAACCGAGTGTGTGGGGATATAGCTCAGGGGTAGAGCGCTCCCTTAGCATGGGAGAGGGCTGGGGTTCAATTCCCCATATCTCCAGTTAACTTTTTTTTCACCATGGAACATTTTACTATCATCATGCCCTCACCTTCTAAATCTGGTAGTATCCATTGCGTTCTGAAGATAAATTTTCTTGGGATAAATATCGTCTAGCTTAACCAGAATTTCAAAATCGATCTAGTGTGAACCTCCGGCAAAACCTTTAAATTGGTTCTCAGACGACACAAATTTCAACTCAACTTCAAATTCGATTAAAGGTGCCATCATCGTTGAGATATCGAATGACTGACGGTAATCACTGGTTATCACTTCAATACGTGCTCAAGAGACACATCATTCAAGGTCAAGCATTGATGTACACGGATCTTCGAGAGCGAACATACGTGATGATGAACGACGAAATGGTTGTGGTACGCCGAAGAGGGCGATGTTAGTCGCAATTACACATCTACGATCTTCCTTTCATCATCGATCCTCCGTAGATTCTGCGATTTAGTTACAGTCTCAAAAATTCACTTTAAGCTTACTCCGATATTCAATTTATAGTTTTCTTTGAAGTAT